CTGTGCCATGCTCTGACTTTGATGATAACACTGATGCCTCAGCGAAAATGTCCTGGAATCATTGTCCAGTTTCTGACTGGTTACCAGATCTAAGTCACTACAAGAAAGAAGAGTTAACAAGGTAGAAACACATATATGCATGCCTTAATAACGACAGTATATGGTATATTAAAGTGTCACCAAATCCACATCATAAAAAATGATCAAAAATAGCTGTATTACTTGTTGTTTATAGTCACTCAGTCACTATGAAATTTGTTTTCTGTATTCTGCAAAAAACCTGGTTGATCCTGCTGTTCTCTTATCTCCCCATTCTGTTCAAGTTCCCAATACAGCTGGGGATTTTACAGAGCACTGTTGGCAGCTACTGCACATGCTGTTTTCAGCGAGTTTCTCTGGTGAGCATTTCTTTTCTCACATCTGAGCAGCCCATGTGACTGTAGAGTCACATATGTGGGCATATACACAGTGGTAAATGGCAGCCCACTGCATCCCTCCTCCTCCATGCCCACTAGCCAGATAAACACGATGGGGATGGGATATTACACCTTGATTGATGGAGGCTTCACCTCCCTGTTATTCTAAGACACAGGCTGGAGGGGGAGATTAACAAAGATCGTGACTGGCAGAAATCCGCCCACAGCATGGTATTGCCAAAAATAATAAAGATGTGATTTCAAATATATATTTGTATGAGAATTTAAAACAGTTTATATTATTTATTAATTTTCACTCTATATCCCAGAGGCTGTTTTTTTAAATTTGAACATGTAACCTGCAGCAGAGGACTAGAAGCTCCTGCCACTGTTTTCCTGCAGAGAAGCTGGGTCATGTGACAGCTGTATATCGATTAGGAAAAAAATACTTAGATGCTTTTTTTTTTAACTAAAATAATTACAGCGCCATCATCTACATACAGAAAGAGATGGGATAATGTAAATTGAAAAGTGTTTGTTTAGTATCAAATTTTAGATATATTGTAGGTTTTACTGTCTATAGAACAGATTCTGTTCCTGTGGAGAACAATGGTAAATGTGTGAGCAGTTAATGATACCATTTTATTTTATTTTAGTGTCTGACAGTATTTTTGGTCCATACAAGTGCCCATTGGCAGTTTTTTTGTAACATACAGTATGTATAGTAACACTGGGCTGCAGGTAAGGTTGACTATCCTGCCACTGAGAAAAAGAATGAAAACCTTTTATATATGGCAGCACAGTGGCTAAATGGTTAGCACTTCTGCCTGGCAGAACTAGGGTTACTGGTTCAAATCCCAGCCACGGAACCGCCTGCTTGGAGTTGGCAAATTCTCCCTGTGCCTGCGTGGGTTTCCTCCGGGTACTCCAGTTTCCTCCCACACTCCTAAGACATGTTGGTAGGTGATTTGGCTCCTGTCAAAATTGGCTCTAATATGTGTTTGTATGAATGTGAGTGAGTGACCTTAGATTGTACGCTCCTTGAGGGTTAGGCACTGATGTGAATGTACAATATATTTGTAAAGCGCTGTGTAAATTGACGGCGCTATATAACTACATGTCGTCATATAGACTTAAAATGAACTACAGCTGTTAAAGATTGCCTTTTTAATTATGCCACCTCAGATAATCTATACCAATATTTTTTTCTCTGTGGTGGGCACTTCTTACTTCCTCTCGTGACCCCCAGGTACCCCAGTCTTCTAGTAGGCCGGTGCAATACAGGCAGCATGCTGAGGATATACAGTGCCTTGCAAACGTATTCCTACTCCTTGAAATTTTCCACATTTTGTCATGTTACAACCAAAAACGTAAATGTATTTTATTGGGATTTTATGTGATAGACCAACACAAAGTGGCACATAATTGTGAAGTAAAAGGAAAATTATAAATGATTTTTTAAAATTGTTTACAAATAAAATCTGAAAAGTGTGGTGTGCATTTGTATTCAGGCCTCCTGAGTCAATACTTTGTAGAACCACCTTTCACTGCAATTACAGCTGCAAGTCTTTTTGGGTTTGTCTCTACCAGCTTTGCACATCTAGAGTGACATTTTTTTGCCCATTCTTCTTTGCAGAATAGCTCAAGATCTGTCAGATTGGATGGAGAGCATGTCTGTGAACAGCAATTTTCAAGTCTTGCCACAGATTCTCAATTGGATTTAGGTCTGTACTTTGACTGGGCCATTCTAATACACAAATATGCTTTGATCTAAACCATTCCATTGTAGCTCTGGCTGTATGTTTAAGGTTGTTGTCCTGCTGGAAGGTGAACCTCCGCCCCAGTCTCAAGTCTTTTGCAGACTCTTAACAGGTTTTCTTCTAAGATTGCCCTGTATTTGGCTCCCTGCATCTTCCCATCAACTCTGACCAGCTTCCCTGTTGAAGAAAAGCAACCCCATAACATGATGCTGCCACCACTATGTTTCACGGTGAGGACGGTGTGTTCAGGGCGATGTGCAGTGTTTGTTTTCTGCCATACATAGTGTTGTGCTTTTAGGCCAAAAACTTTTTTGGTCTCATCTGACCAGAGCACCTTCTTCAACGTTTGCTGTGTCCCCCACATGGCTTCTCGCAAACTTGCAAATGGGACTTCTTATAGCTTTCTTTCAACAATGACTTTCTTCTTGCCACTCTTCCATAAAGGCCAGATTTGTTGAGTGCTCGACTAATAGTTGTCCTGTGGACAGATTCTCCTACCTGAGTTGTGGATCTCTGCAGCTCTTCCAGAGTTACCATGGGCCTCTTGGTTGCTTCTCTGATTAATGCTCTCCTTGCCTGGCCTGTCAATTTAGGTGGTCGGCCATGTCTGGGTAGGTTTGCAGTTGTGCCATACTCTTTCAATTTTCGAATGATGGATTGAACAGTGCTCCGTGAGATGTTTAAAGCTTGGGATATTTTTTATAACCTAACCCTGCTTTAAACTTCTCCACAACTTTTATCCCTGACCTGTCTGGTGTGTTCCTTGGGTTTCATGATGCTGTTTGTTCACTAATGTTCTCTAACAAACCTCTGAGGGCTTCACAGAATAGCTGTATTTATACTGAGATTAAATTACACACAGGTGGACTCTATTTACTAATTAGGTGACTTCTGAAGGTAATTGGTTCCACTAGATTTTAGTTAGGGTATCAGAGCAGAGGGAGCTGAATACAAATGCACGCCACATACATAGAGACATACCCAAAAACACTTGCAGCTGTAATTGCAGCGAAAGATGGCTCTACAAAGTACTGACTCAGGAGGACGGAATACAAATGCACACCACACTTTTCAGATATTTGTAAAAAATTTTGAAAATAATTTTTCATTTTCCTTCCACTTCACAATTATGTGCATCTTTGTGTTGGTCTCAATAAAATACATTTACATTTTTGGTTGTAACATATCAAAATGTGGAAAAATTTCAAGGGGTATGAATATTTTTTCCTGGTATATTTTGAGTGCAAGTAAAGGCCTGTCTTTGCCGACACAGACCATAGACGCGTTGGAGCTTGGTCTGCAAGAAAAAGCAGGAGGCTACATATGTAGTGCTAATATAGACTCCTACAAGAGAAAATATGTTTATGCTGTTTGTTTGACAAGTCTATGCAAAATACTCGCCTGCAAGAAGCCCTCAAACACATTTAGCACTTCAATATGTTGACTATGGCTCTGACACCCCTCCATTTAAAGCTGAAATATCATACTCCCTAAAAGACATGCCAGTAGCATTAGCTGTATAATGCCATGTTAAAAATGTGAGTTTTGTCACCTTTTTTTTTTTTTTTATTTTTTTGCATTAGTGTTTTTCAGCATTTGCGTTTTTTAGGAAAACTATACTCCCACAAAACCTTGAGGCTCAAAAACGCCAGTCAAGTTTTTCAGCGTTTTGCAGCATCAGAGCGCTTTTACAGCTGAAAAACTCCTTCAAACACAGTAGTTCTGGGGGATTTCTTCCAGCCTGAAACCACCCCTACCAAGAATTGCTGATAAAATACTATGTGTGCATGAACACATAGGATAACATGCTGGGGAGTTTACTGACTGTAGAAAAAAGGAAAAAGGCCCAGTGTGCATGAGGCCTTTATGTATTGACAACTTAAAACGTTTATATTTCCCATCACGTTCTGTATTGGTGACAATAGTCAACCTTGTCCTTAAAAAAACAAACATTTTTTTTCTACCTTTTGATTTTTAAAGCAGGAAGGTGAAACACATATACAGTACTGTGTAATTTAATTGGTAATGCAGTTCCATGGTCACATAAAATGTTTCCTTGGCAAAGATTTGTATGCAAATCTACATTAAAAGCACTCGAGTGGCCTTGTGTTTTTTTTTCAGGGGGGAAAACAAACTAGATTATGTATTTTTTAAAATAAATATTTATGTAAATGAATATGGAAGCTACATCTGCTGACTATAATTGATCTTCTTAAAATGCTAGTTCCCTTTCTATCACTTTGGATTCAGTATTATGAAGCACTGACCCAAACAAGCAAGCAAATTAGTATTCTAACTATTTTTCTATTTTTTTTTTGTATGCAGACTTATTCTGGGTCAGTAGCTCAAGGTGTTGAAACCTGTGCGTTTGACTAAGAGCCAGGAAACTAACACTTCCAGAATTCCACTTTCGATTGCAGCAGAGCTGGTAGATGCATATGCCAAGGATACTTCCGTGAAAACCACTTGTCAAGATAAACCTTACTTCTAGAGATATCTGCCTTTCCTGTAAAATATGGCTTTAGCTGCATGCCAATGTTTTTGTATTTAATTGTGATGGATAATGAGGCTTAGGGGTGTCAAATGCCAGGGCCAAGATTACATATGAAGACAGCTGCCTATCTCTGGTTCTACTGGTTGTTTTGAGGCGGTATTCTTTAAATTACATTTTTTAATCTTCATATGTTCATTTAGAATTTTCAGAATTTTTGACAGCATAATCAATTGTTAATGCATTTATTATTTTTTTTATTGCAGTGATCCAGGTGAAGTTCTTTTATATTACTGCTACTGTGATGTAAATGACCCACAGTGGATCTGTGACTGGCAACGAAGTTTGTGCCAACTGTTGCATCTTACAGGAAAAGTAAGTAGAACGTATGCCTTTGAGACAGTAACATTTCCAATATTTCTTAAAAGTCTAGGCAAGGCACCCGGGCGCCCATGGATTGTGCCCTGTCATCTCATGATATATTTAGACTGCGCCCATCTCTATTATTACTACAGATTTTGCTGCTCTTTGCCTTCTTTTTTTTTTTTTCCACAGTTGCCCCCTCCTAGAACCTCAAGGATTGGCCCAAAAAACAAAACAAAAATCTGTACAGATTACAGGAAGCAACATAGAATACAAAATCAGAAAAAATTATACAAATATAAAACAAACCACAAAAAAAAACATTTAAAAACATACACCCCCTAAAAAGGAGTATCAGTATACCAGTCCCTGTATAATGGCATCAACAGGGAGCCCTGAGTGGCACTGAACCAGGAAACCATATGCGTAAAGTGTGTATAATTCACCAAATGCAATCAAAATAAAAAAACAGTATCGTAGATGCTATGTATATAGTTCACTGACTCAATTTGGTGTCATCCAGAATTCTGAGTTCCCTGATGAATGATAACATTATGTAGGGACTGCAGTAGTGGGGCCATAATATTAATGTGTTTGGTTCACTCGTGTGATACTAGCACATCCACAGTTTTTTTTTTTTCTTTGTTGAATAACTGGGCAGTTTCTGATTTAGCGAATGTTATATATCCTTTTATTGTTGCATTCCTGAATGATTTGGGTTGAGTTAATTTTCTGTTTTGTTGGACAGCTAGAACTGGGGAGTTGTGAAATTTTTTAAAAAATGTACTCCTCATCCTAATTTTATATACATGTAGCTACAGAAGAGAGGGATGGCTGTAACTATGCGAAAGTGATATGGGGGCAGCATGTCATGCATGACAATCCCCAATTTGTCCTAAAGAGAGACTTCCATTGTTCACAATTTCATCTGAAAATTTCTGAGTGCCTTGCTATCGTTCTGAATCAATGACTTTCAATACATTAAGTCACTGACCCAAACTTCTGACTTTTTTTCAACATTCCTAGCCTTCAAGCTTATTCCAGGTCATTGACTGAAAAAGTATTAAATCTGTTGGGCCAGCATAACAGCCAGGCAACAAGCATTTTGGGAAGGTCAGCAATGGCAGCCTCCATATTTCTTTTACGTAACCATATACTTTGATGAAACCTAATCAGATCCAGAAACTACTTTTGGACTGTATAAATAAGTAGAGCACTTATTGGTCTATTTTAGGCTTTTCATAAATTCCTGAAGCAAGTGAGATGATAAAAATTACTGTTTTAATCTTTTGCTGTGTAGATTCGTATAGCTACAGAAGGAATAAATGGTACTGTAGGGGGAAGCAAGGTCTCCACCAAAATTTACATCGACACTATGCTTTCACACCCTCTGTTTAAACACAGTATGTGCCTGGAGGATTTCAAGGTAAGACACATTAACAACATTTGACCTGAAGTTTTGATTGTATGGTTTAATCTTACACTTTTGGGCATTCGTCAACCACTGTAGGATTGTTCAGTGGTCAATCACACAATGCAAATAATGGCAAGATGACCACATATACATGCAGTTGCCACGAACAGCTGTTTTCTTCATATATGCAAACCAGTCGAATATGGTTGATTTCATGCTTTAAGAATTTTTTCCTCTAGAGCAGGGGTCTGACAAAGGGTCAATTTACTGTCCTTCAGGTTTTGGGTGGGCTGGACTGTGATCAGTAGAAGCTAGCAATGCTCCATCGTTGATTTTAATGGGAGTAAAAATGCCTCTTGCTGGTATCATTAGGAGGTATAGTGCCCCATTAGTGTCAGTGAATTGTGCCCCATGTTTGAATTCAGTATGATTCACATCCGGCCCCCTGGAGTGCAGTTTGGAGATCACTGCTCTAGAGTGACGGATATAATTTAATTAAGTTTTAAGCGAAAATGCAAACTGCAGGATGTAATTTATACAGTATGCATTTTATCAGCCATTCTTGAGCAGGGTTCCTCCAGAAGTTCTCAAAGCAGTGACAAAAATGTACCTTTGATTTGATGGGGCTTGCATTGTTCCAGGGCCAATGCCACTAAACAGCACCAGCAGCAAGAAATATTTTTTGCTGTCTGCAAGGGTGGCATTCTGACTACCACTGAAGGGGGGCAGTCTTCCAACAAACCACCAATGCAAGATGTATGTTTCCGGCGGACCTCCAACAAATTGGTTTCAGCAGGGGTTTTCCAAGGCCTGAAAATAAATTCAAGGGGTAAAAAGGCTGCATTTCAAAGTCTTTTACTGATTCCAAAAACTATGCAACCTAGAACTATAAAAAAAAAATCTAGTATTTAATTTTTATGAAGTTTTTCAGTTGTTGTTAGTTGCCACATGTCCTGATTTCCTAATTTAGTTTGGATTTAAGACCGGGTTCACTGCATCCTAAATTCTGCATGTATTTGTCCACCCTTATTTGCTCTGTATATTTCAGTAGATACAATTTTACATGAACATTCTGTGTTTTCTTTATCTTATGATTTTGAAGACAAGTGAAGGGGATGCACATTGTTTTCCCGACCTTCGTGTTGGAGTTTTCCAAGAAATCGTGCCAATGGGTGTTGATCCACACAAAGTCAGCTATAAAGAAACAGGTATTTTTATAAACAGTTGATCTCTATTGTTTAGCAAGGTCACTAACACCTGTATTATAAACGCAATAAGACATAATGGGTAGAAGAGATATTTACCACAGAAAAGTTTGATCTGCTTAGTAAATGTCATGCTAAAAGAATAAAAGTCAAATCATGGGCCTATTCTCACCTATGTATTGCGATTACGTGCAGCAGTACACCATTTCTTTGAGAAATATATGTACAATTGCCTTCCGGAATACTCACTTCATGAATTCCAGGAGGCTGCAGAGTTCTCTACAGTGCATGCACTGAGCCACGTCATCAAGAGGGGAAGGCTGTCTCTACATGGTTTTTGCAGCCAGCTGGAAGAACCCAGAAGAGATCGCCAGCCCCCTGTGATATCATTAGGAAATGGCAGCATGAGATTGGGTGTACTAGGGTGGAGCAGCAGATCTCTGGAGAGCACCACTGAATTGCTGGGCATGAAAGTGGTTTTTGTGCACAACTCTACTATAAAGGTAAGAGAGAAGGGAAAAAAATTAAAAGGGGGGAGTAAAATTCCTCTATAAGGTAAGGGTCTTGTGTTTTGAAACTTTGTGTTTGTTTTAAACCATGGAATATCTTTAAAAAAAAATTAAAGAAATTCTTCACTTAGTGCATTAAGTCACAATATGGAACAGGAAGTAGTTTGCACAATATCCTGAATATGCGAAATATATACACATACACATACAGTTCCAAAGGTAGCCATATATATAATATACACACTGTATAGTAATTGTTATATTTACAGTGCAGTCCAGACATCCCAAAATAAATCTTCACAATTGAAAGAGTAACAAGCGATCTGAAACAATCCAACTCCAAGAACTGCAAACCTCCTCCATGATGTCACTTGCCGCCACTGCAAACACTTACTAGAAACTTAGACCTCAAGACCATAAAAGGTCAAACGGCACTTATAGATAAACTCTCTCACAGAGGACAAATGGAAGTATTGAACGGCCATCCATCAATTAAGGTGCCTCATAATCATAGAGTTTAATACAATGTAGAAGAGAAAGGTGTCCACAGAAAGGTCTGCAAATAAAAAAAGCTTCACATTTATTTAAAAAACAAGAGACAAACTTACAAACTTGAGTATGCAAAAATGCAAGCGTGTTAAATTTGCTCCTCATTGTCTCCTGCAGATCGTAATGATGTCAGCACGCTATGCTCCATCCTACATGTTTCGTCATAAATGATGTCAATCAGGGGCCACTGATGATGTAATTTATGACGAAGCACATAGGGCAGGAAAATTGCGCTGACGTCATTATATCCTGCAGGAGACAGTCGGATGGTGAGGAGTAAATTCCAAGAGTCAATTATCCATCATGTAATAGTGGATGCCATTTTTTTGGAACAGAAGAGTCTGTATTAGAATCACTTGGAAGTGAATATTTTACTATTAAGACCCCTGAAAAGGTATACTTCAGCCAAAACTGAAAAATAATCCGCGAGATTCAATCCTGGGAAATAGACTACTTTTCAATAGATCTGTTTTATATCTAGGCATTGCTGTAGTGCACCAATCCACCCTTTTGTTGGCAATTTTGTGATCCTGGAACACATCAACCTTTCATGCTGGAACCTACAGCTCTTCTTGCCTCTCACATGCAAAACCTAATGTAATACAATGCCAGCAATAAGATATTTTTCACATACACCAATCAGATTCAAACCTGTCTTGGAAGAATAAATGTGAAAGGAAGCAGCAAAGGCATCAGGAAGTACTCCCAACTGGCCTGGAGCTGTATGTGCTTATTCTGCAGCTGGTTAAGTATAACTCAAATTAAAGTAAATTAATACTTTCTGACTTTAGCACCGATTCTTGTAATATATAGCATAGCTCACTGAATGATTGTATTTGTTGACTGCAATTTCTTTAAAGAACAGACTTCATTGTTGGAAGCATAACATAGATGGAAATCAAGGATGTAACCGTGTAATGCTAGTGAGCTTTTTAATACCATGACATTGTCTTTTGTCTGTACAGCTATGCATCTCTCTCCGGAGGAGTTTCATAAAAGAGTGGAACAATATTTGTCTGCATCTCTTCATGAACACAAGGACACAATTTTGCTGGATTGCCGGAATTTTTATGAAAGCAAAATTGTAAGTATTTAAATGTAATATTTTTCTCTATTTTATCCCCTGATTATTTAAAAACTAGATACAGTTGTGTTCAAAATAATAGCAGTCAGACATCACTAACCTGATCAATCACTGTTTTTGGTATAAATTATATTTTTACATGGCAAATTTACTAGTAGGTGTAGTAGAGTAATAAAAGACCAACAGACCCAACAGTCATGGCATGCATGCTGATGATTCTGTGTAATTGAATCATTAATTGAAAGGGGTGTGTTCAAAATAATAGCAGGGTGGAGTTCAATTACTGAGGTCATTCAGTCTGTGAAAAAATAGGTGTCAAACAGGTGACCCTTATTTAAGGACGAAGGCAGCAAATGTTATACATGCTGGGTATAGTGCATTTCTCTCTGAAAATCTGAGTGATATGGGTCGTTCAGACATTGTTCAGAAGAACAGCGTACTTTAAATAAAAAGTTGATTGGAGAGGCAAAATCATATAAAGAACTGCAGGAACAGATAGGCTGTTCAGCTAAAATGGGTGGGTTTTCAGGTAATACAGTCACACGTGAGTAAGTGTCAGGAATGGACTCAGCACTGGTGGTGGGACTCGCCTGCCGTGTGGGCTGCAGTACCAGAGCTGACCAGCGGGTGTGCTCTTAGCAGCCAGAAGCTCACAATCAGCCAAACCTGGGGCTGATTGTAGAAAGGTGTATATAAGGCATGACCAGGCCTGTGCTCTGGGCCTTGGTGTATGTTTTCCCATGAGCCTCTGTACCCTGTGTTCCTGCTTCCTTGCTGACCCGGCTTGATCCTGATCTCTGTTGACCGTCTCCTGTTCTGACTACTGGCTCATCCCTGACTATTCTTCTGCCTACTCCTATGCTGTTTGACCTCCTGTTGCTGTACCTTGGCTTGTGACCCGTTTACTCTTTGCCTGCTGCTCTGTACTGATCTGCCTCCACCGTTACTGACCCGGCTTGTCTGACCACGCTAACTACTCTGCCATCCATCCATCCTGCACGGATCCAGCCGTACCTGCACATACCTCTGGCGGATCCCTCTACCACTAGCAGGTGTACTCAGGGGCCGCGACCTGGTCTCAGTCCTGCGCCAAGTCCATCCCCACCATCAGGGGCTGTGGTGAAAAGGCAGACTGGGGCTTAGACTCCGCGCCCTGGGGAATCCTGCCCTGAGGACCGCTAGAGGTACCACCAAACGGTCATTGCAGAACCCTACGGCCAGCCTGACCGTTCCACCTCTCCAGCCCTGACTACGCCTGTGTTCCTGCACCTCCTAAAGATTAGTGGAAGGTTGGTTTGTTCACTGTGCGTTTATATAGATATATATCTGGGTGGCTAATAATAAACTATTATATTACCTGCGTTTCCCTGTGTCAGTCCACACCTTTCTGGTCACTCCTTGATTCCTGACATCACACCAAGGCCTTTCCTGACCAGAAGTGGCTGCACAGGGAAGCCATCTTGACTTGTTGTGAAGGATGTATCCTGATGAGGTTATATATTTGTCTATGCTAGTCTTTGATGACAGGGAATATGCCTATCAGACTCTGCGGGAGTATCCCAGGGATCAGCTGCTAGAGTGCATACGGGTCGCTCATTCCCTAGTAGGTCAGGACCTAGAGCTCTCTGAGGTGCAACCATTGATTCAGGCTTGTGTTGAGTTGGCTTCATCTAGTACCCCTGAAAGCAGGGATGAATTTCTTCCTCCATTCAGGGCGAGTCAAATAATATCACTGGTATGGTTGTTGGAAGATGATCCGGATTGCTTCTTGGAGCACTATTCAGCATGTTCACCACATGTGCTAGAGAAAGTGTATAAACGCAGTGCAATCTTTGACCAGACAGGCTTTGTGTAAGCTGAGCGTTGTCCAACCCTTACTGCAGACATGGTCAGACTTGTTACACCCAGCCTCAATCAGCTTGCAACGAACCAGTCCTGTTTCTCATCTGTCCTCTGCTCAAAGCTCTTTTCCTGCATTCCCAACAGCACCCCCAGTGACAGCCCCCCCAGTGACAGCCCAGTATACCCAGCAATCTACCACATGTCAGTACCCTGCTCCCACTCACTGTACCATCCTGCCAGTTGACTCGGTGCCCGCTGTCGTGCCAGTTGACTCGGTGCCCGCTGTCGTGCCAGTTGACTCGGTGCCCGCTGTCGTGCCAGTTGACTCGGTGCCCGCTGTCGAGCCAGTGACTCGATGCCTGATGATTCGGTGCCCGCTGTCGTGCCAGTTGACTTGGTGCCCGCCGTCGTGCCAGTTGACTTGGTGCCTGCCGTCGTACCAGTTGACTCGGTGCCCGCTGTCGAGCCAGATGACTCGATGCCTGATGATTCGGTGCCCGCTGTCGTGCCAGTTGACTCGGTGCCTGCTGTCGTACCAGTTGACTCGGTGCCAGTTGACTCTGTGTGCCCGCTGTCGTACCAGTTGACTCGGTGCCAGTTGACTCGGTGCCCGCTGTCGAGCCAGATGACTTGATGCCTGATGATTCTGGTGCCAGTTGACTTGGTGCCCGCTGTCGTACCAGTTGACTCGGTGCCAGTTGACTCGGTGCCCGCTGTTGAGCCGGATGACTTGATGCCTGATGACTCGGTGCCGCCGCTGTCATGCCAGTTGACTCGGTGCCCGCTGTCGAGCCAGATGACCTGATGCCTGAGGACCCAGTGCCCGCTGTTGAGCCACATAACCTGATACCTGATGACTTGGTGCCCGCTGTCGTGCCAGTTGATTCAGTGCCCACTGTTGTGCCAGTTAATTTGGTGCCTGCTGTCGAGCTTGGTGACCCGGTACCCGCGGTTCTGCTAGATGGCTTGGTTCCCGCTGACGTGCCTCTGCCCGCTGCACAGCCCGACATGCCAGCCCCTGATGTCCAGTTAAACTGGCCCATAACTGATACCCAGCCTGCTCCTGGAAATCCTGTGCCCAGTGACCTGCCTTCCTGGGTTCTCCTACACAAAGAGAAGTCTACCAGCAGGAAACCCAGCCAGCCGGTTTACTCCGGCAGTAGGATATTCAGCCAGTTACCTGACCCGGGCGGTGGAACATTTTGCCCACTAAGGACTGTTTGGAGCGTCCTGAGGCCGCTCCTTGAGGGGGGGGGTTACTGTCAGGAATGGACTCAGCACTGGTGGTGGGACTCGCCTGCCGTGTGGGCTGCAGTACCAGAGCTGACCAGCGGGTGTGCTCTCAGCACTGGTGGTGGAACTCACCTGCCGTGGGCTGCAGTACCAGAGCTGACCAGCGGGTGCTCTCAGCACTGGTGGTGGAACTCACCTGCCGTGTGGGCTGCAGTACCAGAGCTGACCAGCGGGTGCTCTTAGCAGCCAGAAGCTCACAATCAGCCAAACCTGGGGCTGATTGTAGAAAGGTGTATATAAGGCATGACCAGGCCTGTGCTCTGGGCCTTGGTGTATGTTTTCCCATGAGCCTCTGTACCCTGTGTTCCTGCTTCCTTGCTGACCCGGCTTGATCCTGATCTCTGTTGACCGTCTCCTGTTCTGACTACTGGCTCATCCCTGACTATTCTTCTGCCTACTCCTATGCTGTTTGACCTCCTGTTGCTGTACCTTGGCTTGTGACCCGTTTACTCTTTGCCTGCTGCTCTGTACTGATCTGCCTCCACCGTTACAGACCCGGCTTGTCTGACCACGCTAACTACTCTGCCATCCATCCATCCTGCACGGATCCAGCCGTACCTGCACATACCTCTGGCGGATCCCTCTACCACTAGCAGGTGTACTCAGGGGCCGCGACCTGGTCTCAGTCCTGCGCCAAGTCCATCCCCACCATCGGGGCTCTGGTGAAAAGGCAGACTGGGGCTTAGACTCCGCGCCCTGGGGAATCCTGCCCTGAGGACCGCTAGAGGTACCACCAAACGGTCATTACAGAACCCTACGGCCGGCCTGACCGTTCCACCTCTCCAGTCCTGACTACGCCTGTGTTCCTGCACCTCCTAAAGATTAGTGGAAGGTTGGTTTGTTCACTGTGCGTTTATATAGATATATATCTGGGTGGCTAATAATAAACTATTATATTACCTGCGTTTCCCTGTGTCAGTCCACACCTTTCTGGTCACTCCTTGATTCCTGACAGTAAGGCAATAGAGCAATAACAGGTAAGCAATAGAAAATCACCAAATAAGTAGTTCGGTTTCCATGAAACAGGGCCCCAGGTTCCGGAACATATCACGTGTGCACCCAACTATGAAGAATAACTGGGTAACCGGGAAATCGCAGTCCTCTGTAGCTTATATACAGTGGTGACTCTAGGGACACCGCTAACCTAAAAAACATGGCTTGTAGGTCAGTAGTGGGGTGGAGAGAAGTAGGAGAGGGAGAGCAGAGTTGTCCCTCTCCCAGCCCAGGTTACATCTAGATCAACTCACTGGGAATCTGGCAATTCCTTTTAGGTATGAGTCAGTATACACAAAATAGTTACATGGCCTCCATGTGTCAGTGTAGGGCTCTTCCGTATTGCGCAGGGTGGCCATAAGTTCCTCCATATCCCGGAAAACATTAACTCTAGCAAACCAAAGAGCCTTCGAGGGAGAGTTGGTGCTCCTCCAGCAGAGCGGAATGCACGACTTAGCTGCATTAAGGAGCTGGATTGTCAGGGAGGATTTGTACTTTTGATAGGTCTCTCCATCAAGTGCAACAAATAGGCCGACGGGTTGTCATGCAAATCCACTGCAGTAAGCTGTTTAATAACTGAGATCACATCACGCAAAAACTACTTGATTCCTGGGCATGACCAGAAAATATGAAACATGGTCCCACCTTCAGCACCACAGCGCCAGCAGGTGTCTGGGATCTGGGGAGAGATGCAGTGGAATAGGAAGGGAACCCTGTACCATCTGGTGAGGATCTTGTTTTGAATCCTCGTGGCTATAGGATCTCAAATGTTTTAAAATGGCAACAAAACCAGAAAGACGTGGAAGAAAATGAAAAACTACCGTTTGAATGGATCGAAGAATAGCCAGAATGGCAAAGACTCAGCCACTGAT